GTCTTTAATGGAACGATCCAGGAACATAATGCGACATAAGTGCCGCACACGAATCAAATCAATTAGCATAGCTGGTGGAACATCATCCACTTCCTCAAAAAAAAAAAAACCAGACCAACCACATCTCCCGCAAAGCACAGTATGCTTTACCAATCTTTCCTAAAACTGAATCGCAACGAACAAAACTATCCCATCCGCCTCCCCATCCCCAAGATTGCCATCACATCAAAATGGATTGCCATTATTGGAATATGCATGGCCGTACAGTCACATCAGTCATAAAGATCAAGAGGACATCAAGAAAACGAAAGAAAGAGTGAGGGAGGCAAGTAGACATTACCATGAAAGGAAGGGAGCTTGAGGGTGTTGGACGCAATGAGCTTGGCGGCGACACTGCCCCAGTTGCCGCTGCCGACGACGGTGAGCCTGGACTTGTCGGCGGCGTCTCCAAGCGGCGCGGCCTCCGTCTCCGGCGGCAGTTCTTGGGCAGGCGCCATTTGGATGTTACACAAGGAGAGAGAGGAGCGGACAGAGAGAATGTGCGCGTGCGTGCGTGTGCGTACGGGTAATGTGTTTTAGAGAGACAGAGAGAGGGAAGGGAGGACGGAGGGTGGAGAGGAAGAGGAGGAGGTTATAAGGGGGTGAAGACGAGGACGGTCATGGCAATGTCTGAAGGAGGGAGGGAGGTGGGCGGAGATAGAAAGACACGTTCCGTCACTCACTATGCCCCCCCTGTTAAATTTGGCGATGTACTCTATGCTCTCTCTCTCTCTCTCTCCGATTCTGGGGCGGTGGTGGTGGGTTACGGAGGCAAAGATTCAGCCCAACTGTTTGATCTTGATTCTCCGTTCACTTCCATCATTCATTTTCACAGAGCGAGAGAGAGAGACGGAGAGGGAGGGGGAGAGAAGGAGAGAGAAACGCTGACGGGATGATCCTATTCACACGCACACCCTCGTCGGTCGGATGCACGAAGACACAAATATTTCACAGACCCAAGATCGCCATCATCGTTGGCACCCTTCCCATCGATGAGCAACGCGCGAAATTTCCAACCTTTGATGAAAGGAGAGGGGTGACGATGCACTTGGTTCTTGTGCTCGGAATCTAAAGCATTGGCCACAACTTTTGACAGATGGAAATGGTCATTTGTTAAGTCCATACCGATTCAGCACCAAGATGGGAAATAGACTTAGAATTCTATCATTCGCGGAGCAGCGGATGTCTTATCGGTTAATCGTTGTATAAATAGATAGATCGATCTACTACCGTTAAGAACGCTCATGCATGTAATATATGCCTTTAGCCCATTACGATTCCACATAGTTTAGACATCATAAATACTAAATCTAAGAATGATGTGTGAATTGAATAATGTCATAGTTTAGACATCATAAATACTAAATCTAAGAATGATGTGTGAATTGAATAATGTCAGTACTCCAAAGATGCATAGATGGGGATGTTAGTGTAATAAAAGTATGCATTCAGTAATTAGTATGATACGGAATAGTTGATGTATTTAATTGGCATCGTAACTCAAAAAGGAAAAGGCTCTTGAGTAACGTGTTTCTAGTTAGGCATGTTATTGGATTCAAATTTGGCATATTCATCTTCGTGATCTCTACCCCATCGTAAATGACATCGAGCTGCAGCTATTGCTCCCCACAAGAAGTGATAAAGGAGTTGATAGTTGATAGGATGTGCCCCTTCTACGTGAGCGTCTGATGAATACGAACCTCGCATTATTGTGGATTTTGGTCGCCGCATTGCGTAGTTGCATTGCTTATTGATTAATAACTTAAGCTTCCCAATGAATCTACACGTATACTAAGGTATCGTGTTTGGAGCAGAGGTGATCGATGGGCGCGCAGCCTGCTCGGTTTAAAAGGCAAATGGGCGGGTTTGAGCAACGTTCTTGAGACAGAGCTTAGTCCGCCTAACTTTGGCCTGAACATTTCTAGATTTTATATTATGGATGGACTGAGGACAATATACTACACCAATTTAGGTGCAAACACACCCTGGGCCCCGGCCAACGGTCAGACTTCTGTCATTACTCTCATAGGATATATCCACTTCTATGTATGGACTTTGAATCATAGCCACCATACAAAAGAGAGTTTAACTAAACGATGAACCAAATTGCAGACATACCCATTTGTTCTCTTGGGTCCATCTAACCTAAAGCTGGCAGCAAATTCAAGGGGGTAAGTCCATCATTTATGATGTCGATTTCTTAGGTCAAGAGTATATTCTTCGCGATTCGCGCTACAGAACAAAGATGTCGTAAGCCGGACGTCAAATAAAATTGACGACACCCCACATTATTACTTACGAAATTTGTCGTAGGGCCTCTGGAAATTCATCGAATTGGTTTTTTGGGATAGAATCAAGAGAAGAAGGTCAAGAGAGAGAAGGATCGATCTTTTCTAGGTATGAGCTGAGAAGGGCAACGGTAACCTAAACTTAAAAGTACATCTCCATTTCACATGGCTAGATCATCCAAAACATCCCCATTATTTGTCCATACGCGTGGCACCCTCCTAGAGAAGCAACTTGGCTTGGCTTTCCACGTGGAGAAAAATTCGAGCATAAATTTATAAATATCAAACCCCCTTAGGTGTGTATGACCCGTGGAGATTATAGTAAACAAAAGAACTTGGTCGGTCCAAGGAAAGATATTGGGATGATTCATTTCGGCCTCCTAAGCTATAAAATAGTCAAAAAGTGATTACATTACATCGATTCGGGTAACGAGTATGCCGTTATGAACATGCAGAGCGACTGTTTCATGCATGCGCAGCCTATAATGGAAACGAGAAGGAGCGGGAAGCAGAAAGCTGCTGATCAAGCCAATAAACTTGTAATTAAGAACGATTAACTATGCACATTTGCCGATGACTTAGTTGATTTTTTGGCACTTTATCTGCTAATTCATTCAGTGATCCAATGCCATTATGCTTTTTCTCTCTTTAAAGAGGCCAACTTTTCCAAGAAACATAGCCCGTTTACACATTCTCCTTCAAGAGGCTTAGTTCAAGCTAAATGCGACTACAACACCTTTAATGCATCGTAAGCGCGACTACAACTCCGTTAATGCATCGTAATCAAGATTGGATCATTGTGACTAGTACATACACTGAAGCAATCCTTACGTTTGCATCAACTGTTCAAGCACCATACATATTACAGGACTCCTTAACGATCAAGAAAGACTTTTCACGGCTCGACTTCGTTGTGCACGGGCCGCCGCCTCTGCGGCAGGCGGTAATCCTCTGACCACCACCACGGCACCGTCGGCGGCTCCTTCCCACTCACCTGTTGCTTCCCATGTTGAGGTTGATGATGGTTGGCTCGTTGATTCCGAAAATCCATCTACTCTGCAAAAAGAAGAACATAGCAAGAACTTATATGACTAAGTTGTAAAGATGACATTCTGAAGTATGAATGAGTGTGTTGTACCGTGGAAGATATGGGAGTCCCGGGTAGATGCTCCACAAGAGGTAAGCAAGAAAAATAATCCCATGATCTTGATGAGGGCAGCGACACTTGACTTCATATTATCAGCTTCTTGTCCATAACAATTTTGTCTCCCCCCTCTACCTCTCTCCATCTTGCTGATGCTGCAGATATATAGGAGCAGATACAGAAAACAAAGGTATAGAAGGATCCACCAAGAAAACCAAAACATATGGAGAGAGAGAGAGAGAGAGAGAGAGAGGGGGGGGATCGTGTGTGCCGTACAAAGTTGAGAGGCTATGGAGTTAGATTATTGTAGGTGAATCTAGGGGTTACCCAGAACTCTAAGAGAAGAATCTTTGTCTGTGCAGGACATGTTGTGGGGGTGTTTCTCTTCTTTTTGTTCTTTTTCAGTTCAGAAGATGTGATCTTCTGAGATGTTTGAATCTTTGATCACACCACGTGGGGGTCCAAATGGTATACCAATGATCGAGATGATTAAGACGCTCAAAACGACATCGCAAGGATTAGAGGATCTTCATATGTGACATTGCAAGGAGTACCGTGCTATAATTGCTCAAGGGCGAGCCTACATCTTAGCATGAAAATTTATGATGTACTTTAGACTCGTAATATTTATAAATTGATCTGATTGATATGAAGCGTTTTTTCATTGAAGATCCGCATCCGACCAAGTTTATAGGATGTCTGATTGACAAATTTATTTAATAGAATCGTTAATTAATTTGACTGATTAATATAAAATACAAGTGTATGATCATAATTAGACATGACTTTCATTAAAGGCCGATTTGCCGATATGCCATCTTATACTTTTATCAGAGCCATTTCGACTTCTGAGATTCATTTATACACTGTCTTATTTCCTTACCAAATATTTCGACAAAACGCCCTGGATGTCTTTAGTGCCTTATTTTCAATTCAAGTCAACTAAGAAGTACAAAAATTAGTAAAATTAATTTAAAAAATTGTACCCACTAAACGTGAACTATAAATAATGGACTCTTTGGACAAGACATACATGCATGATGATCAGCTCCATATGTGCTGACGTCGCACGTCGGTAGAACCGAAATTTTATGCTATCACTACAAATTAACTAACCCTCGCGCGCACGCGCACGGCGTGTTCTAACGAGTGCTAACTTCCTTACATATTAATTGACCTAAGTGACACCCTAATCCAACAATAAATCACTTTCCAAGCAAATTTCCCTCTCAATCACCAATTGACCCGGACAAATTGGCACAAGCCCAACCAACCATTCTTTTCTTCACCAAAAATAACATGAAAAATTTCCTCTCCTGTCTCAACTGAAAAAACTAACATTGCTCTTTTCATGTGTCCTCCTCACATTCTCCTAATTTCTCTCCCTCCCCATATCCTATAAATTCCATTTTCCCACCCCCACCGTTTCCTCATTCTTTGGTGCTGCAGTGTTTCTCTACGTTGTATAGAGAATTACTGCATTTCACGAGGATCACAATTATTAAAAAACAATAACCCTCAAGGTTGAAATGGCACGTCAACTAGTCGTCTTGGCCTTGATCGTCGTGGCGATCGTCGGCTCCGTCTCCGCCGAGGGACCCTCCGCCGCCCCCGTTGCCGCCCCCGTGGCCTCCTCCTCCCCCAAGGCACCAGCGGCCGCCCCCAAGGCATCGGCTGCCGCTCCCCAGGCATCAGCCTCCGCCCCTATCTCCGCCACTCCCGAGGGTTCCATCGCCTCGTCCCCTTACTCCGAGGGCCCCGTGGCATCATCCCCCAACACCGACCTGGCATCGCCTCCTGCCCCTGGAAGCGAGGCTTCCTGGGGACCCACCGCCGATGACAGTTTCGCCGCTCCCGCCGAAGCTCCCGTGGCTGCCAAGAACGGCGCCTCCGCCCTCGAGGTCTCCGCCGTCGCTGGCGTTGCCGTCGTGGCCAGTGCCTTCCTCTTCTAAATGGGTGATGAGGCATGAGATGACTGTGTGAGTTAATAATTTGTACCAGCGTAAGGAGAAGCTTTGTATTCTTCTTACTGACTTAGGAACAATTGACAAATTCATTATCTAAATATTTGCACGTCGATTTTTGTCCCATTTTTTTAAACCTTCCAATCATCGGCCAATATCAAAGAAACCCTTTTGCTCTTACTTAGGAATACGTATGTATATATTGCTATTGGCTCGCTACACAAAGAAGAATAAGATCATTAGAAAGTGTTTCGCGTGCAATCTGGAAAGGTGAGGTAATAAGGAGAACGTCGTTAATATCATCTGTAAATGAATAAGCTTGGCAAAAAAAAATCGTGATTCAGACATCATGATTCTCTCCTTGCTCTGAATTTATCATTCGGCTGGTTGAAATCTAAGTACGACAACAAAGTTGTTTGGAATTTAATTGGGTTGTCAATGGGGTGTTTGAAAATGGGTGATTTGCCATGAAATCCCCCAATCGAAGGGTTCATAGTTATATTGATTTTGCAAAAGTTTTATCTAACCAAACAAATTAAATAAATGGTCAATTAAGATTAACTATTCAACATTCCTACTTATATCTGATTAAATTTTTGTTTCATTTTGTGAGAGAGATCCCAATATTGGACAATGGTAAACACTTATCCCACATAAGCGTTCTCATCACATTATCACACCCTTCTTCGCACATGCCATAGGTTTCAATAATTCTTTTACCCATACAAAGTGAGTTCGCACACGTCGAACCTTCATCATCCTTCGTGGGAGAGAAAAAGCATTAGGAAATAAAGTGAGAAATCGTGCCGTTTCTTTGACAGTTTAATTAGGATTGGGATCCTCTGAAGTTAGCATCCTCTGAATCGAGGTAAAGTTGCTCTCTCGGATTTGAACACATCAGCCGAGCAAATGGATGACTCGGATTAATTGTAAGCGACGGGACAGCATTCGAGCTGCGACGAGTGATGGGGACACGGTGGGCGCTCGACGGTGGCGGCTGCGTGGGAGACGGTTAGGGTTTGCTTTCTTTTGGTGCGGGGCATGTTGCGCAAATCTCTCAAAAAGGGATAGGTTATTTTAGTCCTAGGGTTAACTTGAACATGTAAGCGACCCTCCATTTTGCTCGAGGGGTCAAGTTTTCAATCAAGTTTCCTTATTATTTCCCTTCATGCCATTGTGAATAAACTCGGCTTTAAGGGCTTAAAAGGTGACCAAGCAAGACCGCAAAGAGCATCTAAGTGCAGTGTCAAAGCGCAAGTGATATAATTTGCTCAGTTCTAGAAGTTAATGAGTGTGTTTCTTCTTCTTGCATGCGCGAGACTATTCTGGTTTTTCGCGAGCCGCGCTTGCTTTGCTTCATATTTCAAAAACCAAAGTCTCGACGGTACATCGAGACAGGAACCGAGGTTTTGTCCCCACTCGACGTGCAAATTTCGCCCATGATTGACGGACCACGACCGACTCAATGCCGTCCACTTTATTCATTTGCATGATCCCGACTTTGGTCTACGTTTTCTCCTTTTGTCCCCTCTTTTCTTGCTTTGACGTTAGAAAAGAATCAAAACAAGATTTCCCATTTCGTGAAAAGTAAAAATTAGACGGACGAGAGAAAATTTTAATCAACGCTTCTCCTCTTTAATCTTCTTCGTTTCCTGATAAACTCGTACATCATACTACGGCCAAGACGATTACAAACATTCTCGCTGGTCATTGTCCCGAGAGACAGAGAGAGAGGTCTCGTTAAACAAGTCGAACTAAAAAAAGAAAAAAAAAGACAAAAGAAGAAGCAGCTAATTTGATGAATAGCCATGCGCGGAAAGCGCTTCATTTCGATAGTGATTAATTTGTTGATGATGCCCTTTTAAATAAGGGCGGCCGGGGGAATCAGCACCGGGAGCCCTTCCTGCAGTTGAGCATGCCAGCGGTGGCGGTCATGGCAGCCACCATCGACGACGGCCTCCCGCTGAGGCTGGAGGCCCTTGCGTATGTTGACGACGCGCCTGCCCCTGATTGCCGGAAGAAGGCGCCGTTCAGAAACATGTCGCCCTCCGACCTCCAGTTCCAACTCCTCCACTCGCTGTCCGGCGCATTCTCATGCTTTGTCACCTACGTACACACACGTGCATGCAACGGGATTATCACGACTTTTCGAGATTATTGTCAAGATGGATAGAGTTTTTAAGTTTATCACAATGTACTTGTTCAGCTCACGAATCGGATTATCCCTGAAGGAATCAGCTAAGTATATGGTTAAATAATTTATTTGAATGCAGTGGATCTTATGTTCAAATCAAAGCGTCTCTACACTCGCGGTAAAACTTGGGAGCCGCACCCTCTGGATGGGGGGTTTTTATTGAGATGAATGCAAAAAATGGCTAGTTCGCATGCCTCAGTGGAGATTAATCAATTCGAAAAATCGATTTAATGCGTAAAAATCTAATTGTTCACCTCCTTTCTGAATCTGGCATCAGGTGCTAGAAATCTGTTGCCTTGGCTGTAGATGGTAGGAGATGCACTCCCTCCAATGGCATACATTTCCCAATGAGTATAGTCATTGTTCACCACATGAAAATACCCAAGCCTACATCTACAGAAAAAAAAAAAACCATAGGAGAAACAAAAATATATTATGTCAATATAAATCACGAAAAAAAGAAAAGATTAAGTAAGTCCTATTTTATTACACTTTTTACGCTACTAGTAGTGAGAAAAAAACGAGAAATGAATTTCTTACCTGGGCATTCTTTGCACCAACCCTTCTCCAAAATGGTTGAAAGCAACGGTGACCTGCATGTCCTTGTCCTGAGTGTACGAGTCGCTGGAGCCCAAGAGCATGACCTTGTCATGATGCGTCATGTAATTGTTCGATATTGTGATGGCGGTCGATCCGTGGTTGGCGTCGATGAGCCCGTCGTGGCAATTCGACAGCGAGCAGTGGTCAACCCATATGTGCTTGCTGTTGAAGATCGACACGCCGTCACCGTCCGACACTGTCCACATCCCGTAGTGCCTGGGGGAGTCCCTTATCATGGCGTTGCCGCTTTGCTTGCAGTCGTGGATGTTGATGCCGTGGATGATGATGTTGGTGGCGTAGTGGATGGTGATGCACGGCCCGTCGCCGATGTGGACGCTCGCTCCTCGCCCGTCGATGGTCTTGAAGGAGTTCATGACCAGCTCGTTCTTGAGCCTGATCACCATGTCCCTCTTGAATATGATCCAGAGGGGCTCGTCCTGGATCACGGCGTGCCGCAGGGTGCCTGGCCTGGGGTTCACCGGGTCGTCGTCGTCCGAGTCCGTGACAACGTAGATCCGGCCATTTTTCCCCCCGAGGGCGTTCTTCCCAAACCCAATAGCGCAGTCGGCGAGGCGCTGCCGGTTGCTCTCCCAGTTCGGGTCGCACCGCCAGCAGTCATCGATTGGGTTGCCGGTGCCGCATGAGAGGTAGGCTAGGTTCCTCCGCGACGCATTAATGCTCCTGCATCAGGCGACAGACAAATTATACAACTACATTGATGTTCAAACTGAATGCAGGCGACTGAGGAGGAAACTTGTTAACAGATTTAGGAGTATTATCGAGTCGAGAGAGCCGACTTTCTTTCGCCGACGATGCTCTCTCGGACACGCCGACTTACCTATTAACTTCTTCTACCACGACATCAGGGTCATGAAGTGGAGCAGACAGCACAAGATGTGGAATAACAAGAAGGAAGATCAGCAAAGCGAGAGAGAACGCATTATCACCAAGCCCCATCTCGTTTCTCTCTTCCCTCTTGCCCCAAAAACGTGCAGGAGGCGAGGTTGATGATGGGGGTGGTCAAGGTGAAAAATGAGGCCATTTTAAAGCGGATTGAGGCCGAAAGAAATGGCGTGATTAATCGAATCAGGTGGGGCCAAATTGGATCGTAATCACAGGCAGTCCAACACGAAAGTATTTCCCATCCCTTTAAACTACCACTAACCGCTGATCATGCATGCACGCCCCCTAGGTAAAGATTCAGTTCTCTTAAGTCAAATTTCGCGACTCTCGCTAGACTCCTGCTCCTCCATGCCACATGGCGACGTAACCCAATTTCAACCATCCTCTTCACATTCACACACGTTACATTCTTGCGCCATTTAAGGGTTAATTTCTCGGATAAAGAGAAGCATAGACTTAGGATAATTTTTATAGGGGAGAAAAAACATGACTCTTTGGTATACTTTCACATGAAAAAGTTTAGGTTATTTACCCGATAGGAGACTCCTATTCTTAGCTCCAGGCTCTCTATTTATCTTGTCATAAAGCTATATGTGCAGCTTGCTGAGAAAAAGCTGATGCCCCGTGGTCCTTTTGAGTAGCACAAACATTAACTTTTCTCTGTCTAGGAGCGAACAAAAGTTACCAAGGGGGGAAGACAAGCATCATTGGCTCTGTTGACTTTCGCATCAGATGTGGTAAGAAGAGAAAGCTCCAATTTCGCCAGATCATTTGACTAACAGCTAAGTATTAAAAAGTATATGTCTGCTGTTAATTGAGTCATCATGTCTCGTCGTCATAAACAGTGTCCCTTGACCCAATTCGAGAGACCCGTTTCCTCCAATCATCTCCCCTTTCGTCCACTAACTGCGGAGCAAAACCCTTGTGATCTTTGTTAGACTGTTAGTCCCCACTTGCTGATAAGGGAAAGTCTTCTTTGGGGTTCCACTTGTCTGGAAACCGGGTATCCAGTTGCGTATCGCTTGATCTTTCTGGACTGCTTGACTAACATCTGCATTTGGCTTGTAAGTTAGGCAGTTCCTTGATATAAATTTCATTTCTAGACATGTTGTTGGCTAGCCCAGTGAGAGAGGACACACATTTGAAATTTTATCCCACGTTACAAAGTATGTCAGAGTTGCCAAACGACCATGTTAACGTAAAGGGAAAAAGCCACAAAAAATCTCAAATTATGTTTACTGTGACACATTTATCCCAAGCTTCTTTGTGACATCAAAGAACTTAAATTATGCCCACTACACATTTATCCTAAAAATTTTCTTGTCACATAAAAAAATCAAAATTTGTACTTATGTGACACACTTACCTTTCGTCAAGGTTTCATTTGATGATTCATCAGCCAAAACTACATCGTTTTATTTCATTTAAGTCACGTAAACGCCATGTCAACACTATTTGCTTTCGACGTCCCTGCAGATTTTTAACGGCTCTCATTAATAGAACTTTGACGGAGGAGGGTAAGTGTGCCACACATGTACGGGTTTGAGATTTTGGTGTCACAAAAAAAAACGTTTAAAATAAATGTGTCACAGTGTGCATAGTTTAGGATTTTTTATGGCTTTTGCCCTAACATAAAACAGGGAAAAAGAAAAATCTTTTGCTAACTCTTGCTTATTCAGGCCCTCTTAAAACAGCCACCGACCCGACCTTGACCAAGTAATTATTGGCGCATAAGTTCCTCGAATCGACCCCACCCCGCCCCCCCCCCGGAAAAGTTCGACCTCGCGAGACTCGAACTCGTCACCGCATGTCTCCATGTTCAGTCCGGTTGCCGATACAGCCGCGCGCATTCGCATTTACGCGAACATAACCAAGGGAAACCGAACCCGAAACAATAGGGCATTCTAGGGTTTGAACCACAAGTTCTTACATGCGTGGACATCATAGCATTGAAGTACATGTTCGTGCTCCTCGCCTTTGATAAAATCATGATTGCTACTAGGTGGGGGCAATGTTCTTCTTCAAAGTGAAGGGGGTCGAGAGCATCAAACCGACCCCCCTCTCGTGTGGGCATGCGAAAAAGCAAAGACTTGCTGCTGCAATGCAATGATATCATCAGTTCGATTAAAGAAAGAGACGTACAAATCCAACTGTGCAGGTTTGACAAAAAGGAGGAGGTGCAAAAGCTCATCAAGCCGCGTTACACTCCTGAACTCTTTTTTCTTTTATTTTTCTAATTTTTGTTTTGAGTGCTTCCTTCCATCTTTTTCCTAGGATGCCCTACATACCCCCCAAAAAAAAAGTAATTTATGTGTTCTAGTTTGACTTGAAAATAAAAAAAAAATAAAGTACTTAATTTTTTGTTTTTTGGTTGATTTTGCAAGACCCAAAAATCAGTTCTTCTCGAAGCAAACATATATTATATGCATATTCTTTTTTCCGAGATATAATTTGGATGAGTCACTCAAATGATCCTGGTCAGTAGTGTTTATATATAAAATATTAAAGTTTTCAACTAACGAGATGGGCATTTGGTCTAGTGGTATGATTCTCGCTTAGGGTGCGAGAGGTCCCGAGTTCAATTCTCGGAATGCCCCTATTTTTCACTCCTTTTTTTTCTTTTACTTTTCCTAATTAGAAAGCCAAAGCTCTACCCGAAAAAAAATAAGAGCAGTGCAAAAACTGAACATTTACGAGCTGCTTTGCATACATAAACATGCGAACAGGAGAATCTTTGAAGGATGATTTTTCAATCTTTGGGTGGTTAGTGAAGTGGAGTTTGTCTACACCGAAGTCACAGCAAGCAGAGATCAACCTTCGGAAGCAGAGTTCATGTGAACATTACAACAACTAAGCAAGTGAGAGTCGAATTCGAGCCTATATGAATCAGCAGTCTCAACATCTCCGGATTGAATCGAATGGGCTTCGGTTTATGGTCCGACGCCAAACAGATCAAGTCGAAATGACGATTCTCTCTTTTTTTGGGCTATACAAAGCACAGATACAATGAGATGCAAACGACTCTCTATCCGAATCACCGTTTCGAAAAAGGGGAGCGGCCCTTTGATGAACTCATCCAATTCACCACTTCAAAGCTTGTAATGCACATGGAAGACGGAATTATTCTCGAACTCTAACGTAATAGTCAAAGTCAATGAGAAGCGATAGGACAGAGAACTAAACTCAGCGTGCGGAGACCTGTACATACATCAAAGACGAGTACCCGGGTTCGACCTGCATGAATATGTTTGGAAAGTCGTGTGAAATCGAATAGAGAAATCGATAACCGATAACAGAGGTAACACGTGATTAAAGAATTGTACCGAGGCATGGGAATGAACTTATAGAAGCAGAACTAGTTAAAGCCATGTTGACAGAAGAGGGGGAGCACAAGACTGGCCATGCACAAGCCCTTCCTGTGCATGCTCACTTGTGCTCTCTATCTTCTGTCAACGCCCTATTCAATCACCCAGAAAGCTCACCTGCCTCATCCACCACATGAACATGAACCTTTCTGCACAAATTTCACAAGAACATCAAAGTAAACCAAATGAAAAAGAGAGAAAGTCATAACCCATGAAAATTAGTGATGGCCTGATGGGTCCTCTTGCTTTGACTTTGTCAATTCTGATTGAAATGGAGAAAAAAGTTGGAACCTTCATCATCTGACACAGCTTGTGTTTGTGTGTTTCTTTCTGAGGGCAGAGAGAGAACAAGAGCAGAGTTCTGGTTTACCCAGTAGTGGTTTTAAAAGGTACAGTGAGACTAAACTGGGGCTGACTTTTTCGTGTGGACATGAGATGAAGGGGAGAAAAGGGTATTGAAAATCATGGCTATTACTCATTTAGTTTAAAAGGAAATTTGGCATCAAATTGAGCAAAGCAAGTTTCAATTTTTCTGGGGTTCTCACTTTTCTGAGGTCGATGATGACTTCCTGTGAGCTGTTCAGCTCTGTTTGGCCACTTGAAAGTTGAGTAACTTAGGAAAGACTCATATTTCTTTGTCACCAAGGACAAGTTGATGATCTCCCACACAATACACCTCTCTCTCTCTCTCTCTCTCTCTCTCTCTCTCCGACCAGACCACATCAATGTTCTAAAAAAATTGGTCCTGGCTAATTGATGTGATCTGACAAGGTTGAGCTTTGAAAATGGAATCAAACCTCGCGAGCTTAGGTCAAACAAGGCTTTTAGGGTGGTCCGGACATATTGGCCCTCGGGATTCGCACAAAACCGGGCGCCTGTCAAACTCGGGATGGCACGACCCGACTAGCTAGACAAGCAATGGAGCGAACACGCTCTGTAAGCTTCAATTATCGGGGGGCCTAGAATCGACGTTAGATCTAACTAACTGGGCTAATTCATGGTCAATCACTATGTCTACGTCGCCATTAGAAGATGAAGTTTTAGAAAGTATGTCACATTCAATTTTGCTGATAAAAGCTTGGCATCATTTTCCTTAAAGCAGCTCTCACCTGTAAAATAGTCTTGTAGCCATAGGTTTGAGTTTCTGTTTGGCCCAGATTCATCCTTGAGTGAGTGGACAGATGATTTATGATATAAGCCCATCTAAGCATCGTCCTCAATTCCTCATCGCACCAACAGTACATGCATAAGCCCATCTTCTTCTTGGTTGTGGCCATTAACTTGGCCCAACATGTCTTCTTTTCTTGTCAGCAACTATGGCAAATCCTTGTCAGATATCATCAATCATCAATTCCCATGTCACAGACTTTATGATATGGAATGAGTGGGACAGATGATTTATATGGGCAATGCAAGTCGACTATGCAACATGGAGGAGAAACCTTGTATTTTAAGATTAGAAGAACTCCAGTAATATTTTTCACCAAGATAAAATGATACGCTTGACACAATCTTTGAAAAAATCATTTTCTTTTCTCCAGCAGTTGTTTGTGCTGGTATTAGATGATGGTGCTGATTTGAACATGAGTTGGAGGCAGAGTTGAGTTGGAAAAGATAAAAGAAGAACAGGGCTAATTCCGATGAAGATATCAATCAAGCAAACGGAAGCTTGTAATCAACCTCCATGATTTAGAATAAACTGTAATCCTTTTTAAAGTTGGTAATTTCGAAGAAATCATTTTATGGAGTGCTCATTAATGAAATGGAACAAGTGAGATACCTTGAATATTTGGATCAAAAATCGATTTTTGATTGCTTCCGGAAAAAAGACATTCTCATAGTTACGTAACTTCAAAGTCCTTGTAAATGATTATTGAATTCGCCCCGACATGTATCAGCGATAGTGTTTGATTCCCCACCACGACCACCTCTTGATCTCATTTAAGATACAAGAAGCAAAAATCTACACCAATTTCCTTTTATCATTAAATACATATCTCACCGCCAAACCATTGTAGGCACCGAGGACAATTTGGTGCCAATTGCAAGTGGGTCAAGTCAACTTTTTCCATTGAAGTTGCTTCACCATCAATGTTTCACAAAGTCCTTTTCCAACAACAAGAACCAAAAATACCTGTCAGAATGGACCACCCCTCCCCTTTTTTTGCCCCAATTGATGGCAGCAAAAAGCTTTGCATGCTCAAAATCCCATGAAAAAAGACCCTTTTTGAAGACTGCAACCCCCATCGATTCTTGTCCCTCCACACACACGTTCTGATGCAATTGGTGCCATTACAACCATTAATTGATTTGGCTTCTAGCCTAAGCAAAACCCCTTTAATGGACAACTTATCAAGCTGCCAGCCTCAGCACCCCACTAAAAAATACTGTCACTTCTGGTTCTTCTTTCACTTTCACCAACAATCACATATTTTAATAGTCGGCGTGCGCGCATGGAGCTCGATTCTTGTGTTTCCCACACTTTAAAAAAAGAGAGGAAGCGGACAGAGAGAAAACGATAGCATTTTGGAATCAAAATGCACCTTTTTTTTCTTTCCATTTCTTATAGACAGTACAAGCCAAAGCCAAATGATGCAGATAATGCATCAGCTCACACCATTATAATACTCGTTGGAACTGACACCATCATAAACCTAACCAAACTAATCAAACCCAAACAAAAGGGATCGTTGATCAACCATACATGTTTCTAACCTAATCCCATTTTCTTTTGTGGGCGTTAGTAGAGAGAGACAGAGAGAAGTATGCTCTTGATTGAGATTGAACAAAAGGGTTAAAATAAAAGAAGAAAAAAACAGAATTAAAGACCATTAAACGCTTATGGTGCGAAATGGGTGATTCCCTATTTGCTGACTCGATGCAATATGATTTCCATGGAGCTTCTTCCTCTCTTTAATGGCAGGATCCTCTAGCAAGAGCACTTTGTCCTTGTCCTTGACACCGACCATGTGCAAGTGCTCACTGTCTTCTCTCTCCTTCCCTTTGAACAGCAGCCGCTGCTCTCTTGGTTCCAAGCCTGTGACCAATGCCAGTATCGTCTTCAGTTCCCCTGCAAAATTTGCGAATCATGAGTCTCGATTCACGCCCAGGAAAAGAATAAAATTACCTCCAAAACAAAAGAGGAAACTTTGGTTCGAGGAACGTGTTTAGCAATTTTCCCCGGATGACCCAGATGAACCGTTTGTCAGGCGTTTGGTTTGGATGCGTTGATCCTGTGTTCTATTCATACAATCTCCTATGTTCAGACTAATCTCGAGTCTCGCCCGTCATCTTGCGGGCATAGGATGATCGGATGATCATGGTCATTCTAGAAACCGGTCGGTTCGAAAGATTCAGATACCCGTGTCAAGAACAAAGCGAAAACCACGATAGGAACACCGATCCCTCACCCGTCGCATCCCAGGTCTACTGCGTGATAATTCGAGAGGAGTCCATGCGTTTAACTACAGGAGGGTGGCTTACCGAAGGTGGAGGTGGATTCAATGGGAATGTCGTGCCACTCGGCGACGGTGGAGACCCTGACGGTGATCGTGCCCTCTCCGGAGCTCTCGCTCCCGCTGCTCCCGTCTCTCTTCTGGACCAGCATGCCGCCGGGCCTGAGCTCCCACTTGATCTCCATGTTGCCGCTGCACGACCTCTCGGCGGACGGCGACCCCTTGCCGCCGCCGCCGCCGCCGCCGTTGCCGCTGAGCTTGGAGCTGCTTCTGCCGAACCTCTTTGACCTCAGCTTCATCATCTTCTTCTTTTTCTTGCTTCTCTCTCTATCGCTCTGTGTGTGTGTGTGTGTCTCTCTCTCTCTCTCTCTCTCTCTCAAAGCTCTGTTTCTGCAATCTCTGTAAATGGAGAGAGGATGTTGGTGGTGACTTTGGGCTTTATAGCAGAAGCAAGCTAAGAACAAGAACAAAATAGAGATGAAATATAATAAAATACAAAAACTAGCCCTTTGGTAGAGGTCCTTTTATTCTAGGGCAAAAGCCACCAAAGAACCCCTTTTAAATTTGTACATATATAACACATATACCTTCCGTGAAAGTTTGATCAATGAAAACGGTTAAAAATCTACCTACTTGAATAACATAAAGCAAACAGTGTTGACATGCTAATCACGTGGCTTTAGTTAAATAAAAATCACGTTATTTTGACTGAAAAATCATCTAATGGAACATTGATGAAAGGTAAATGTGCCACAAAGGTATAAATTTGTGATTTTTTACATCACAAGAAAAAGTTAAGGGTACATGTGTTACAATGGTTATAGTGTTTGATATCACGAAAAAAAGTTTATGATAAATATGTCATAATTGGCATAATTTGAGAATTTTTGTGACTTTTTCCTTTTATTTTATTTTTTTTCTTTCTTTCCTTGTTTAACATTGCGGCTGTGTAAATTTCACGTATTAAAGATATTAAAGATATCAAAAAAGAGTAGAATGTGGTAAATTCACGCGACACAAGATGTCAAAACATTCAAAAATTCACATTACTATAATTACATTAAATGTAATCTCAAGAGCACTTTTGAAATATGCTGAAAGTCAATCTCTAAATCATAATATCCGTGCGCGCGCAAATGGAGGGAGATCACGCATATATAAAACCCCATAATCGAGCGACCTGCGACAGCCAGATGGAGAATGACGCCCGGAATTTGTCAAACAAGGTGGACGTGCACGCGAAATTAAAATTGGGGCCAAAAACCTAATTCTGGCACCACGTTAGAAATGAAAGATATGTACAAAAAAAAAGATAGCACTTTAAATTTTCTTTTTCGAATAATGTTTTGATTTTGTCTGTTTGCATGATGGGGGATGGAGGGATGTGACGGCGACACGTGGCACACGATATGGGCAATTTTTGCTTATCCTCTCTTTTCATCCTGCTGATTTCGTTGGGGGAGGGGAGGATGGGTGGGCGCCGCTCGGGAACACGCTTGCTTGATTGGCGGGGGCCGAAAAACCAGAGAAATGATTAAAATCGCCAATAATATAATTAAAAATAAAATTGGGTCGGTTGAGCCTCTTGATGATGCAAAATTAGAAATTTTTCTTTTTGTTCGACTTTTATTTTTCTTTATCACTAATATCTCCGGCGTGCGATGTTTTCGGCTTTGTATTTGCAAAATTTGGTCGAAAATAGTTTTTTTTTTTTTTTTGGTAACCGAGGTGTCTCGGACTATCATACGCACTCGACTGTTCCTCGTGAAGACTAAGACAAAGAACCCACCGCCACGGCCCCCCACTTAAATCACAAGTGCTCAGCTGGGGAATCGAACTTGGGACCAGTGCGCCTAATCACACAATCCTAAGTACGCCATAACCAACTGAGCTATCCATGGGTGGGTAAAATAATTTAGTGCTTGTGTTTGGAGAAAAGGCCAACCTCCAAGCATGGCACCAATGTTTCTCTTTTGTTGTTGTCTCCGTCTCTCTCTCTGCCTTCTTCTCGTCCCTACCATCACTCCCTTTTTTTTTTTTTGGCTGTTTTCCATGTCCCTACACGATCGAATGTTGCGAAGGAGTGATCTCGTTACATGTGTTCCCGTGCACATGGACCTCTGGTCATGTACAAACTTTCATGTGTGGGGATTTGCGCGACTCGAGAGCTCCGAGGCTTCGAGCGCGCCGGATCTTACTGTCTTTCGTGCTCGCGCCGTGATTTTTATTGTTCAGTCGAGTTTGATCGGGCCAGCTCGTTTTCTATCGACATCAGCTCGACTTTTCAAATTTGGTTAGATTCCCTGACTAGGTAACGTTAGACGCGATTACGACTTATAGGACGCCTTTTTGCTCCTTGGTGGGATGTTGATTGTGCTTAGAGTATCCGCTTGACGATTAATTAAATAGTAATCGAACCCATAACGAGAATATCGAGCTTGTCACTCAGCTATCTGTCTCATTGTTCGTCGATCGGTTAGTTTTGAGGGTCCCCTGCCAAAATCATATCAAATCAAACCCATGTGGGGGTAGAAGATTTATCAAGTCGCGTCATGATTTCTTTCAATCGCGTGACTTCGAAAGCCCTCGAGAGTAAAATCACGCTCGTTCCGTTTAAGATTCCACAAGAGAGTGAGAGATAGAATTTTGCAATTGTGCAAAGCAAATGATTGCATAGGATAAGGACACGATGGGCTCTTCGAGGGTCCTATGTAGCTTAAAGTGCTCTAGGCACATGGCCCCGGCCGCCCTATAACCATAATTTAACACTCCCGGATTCGACTGTATGAAAATAGAGGAAAACGAAAATTGACTGTTAAAATAAACATGCATCTGAGATAAACAAAACAAAACAAAACAAAAAAACATGTTCTTTTGTCTCTTCTTACACCAAATTGATCGGCCAACTAACTAACTAAACCAACCAACCAACCAACCAACCCTATATCTTCGGGGTGGTTGCCTCGATCCCGCAGCTCCCATGATCCGCCCATGTGGATGGCGAAACCGTGTTGAGGAGTGTTTTAATACTTTTCTCCAAACGAGGATGAAATTGAGAAATGGGCTGTGCTTTCCGCCGTTTGATCGGCGAGGAAATTCTCTCCAATCACATCTCTGATTCGAGGGTTACGAGCGATTGGGCAGTTGGCAATATCCATATTTGTAACGGGTTGTTGAGAAAACCCGATTAAATCTAATTTCAAAATGACCCGCGAACGGGATCTGACTCCCGACTGTAAAAGAACACGGCTTAGCTCTAATCCGTGGAGGATTCTTTATGGCCATATTTTATAAAGTCAATACCCAACTTAGCTATTATATATTTATATAAATCATTACACAAAATCTAATTCACGTAAAAGCTTAAACCAATACCGATACGAGGCATGGTTAATATTTCGACGTTTTGGAAACATCGATATACATGTATAATTCCCAATTAAACGAATGGGTGCATCGATTACTCCTCGGTGTCGAGCTACATATACATATGATCACTCTCAGATTAATAAGCGAAACATATGCGTCAAATGGGAAGCCGAGCCGTCGTTTTCACATGGTATTAATTAAACGCGAAATTAAATTAGCTCTACCCAAATCACCTCATCTAGCACGATGCGCATGTGCCAGCATGCGCGGCGGACTATCATCGGAATCTTGAGATTTAATCTCTGCTAAGTACGAAGTCGCCATATTTAAAACCCTCGTTCTCAATTGATTTTCGACCAAAAAAAATTAATAGCGAAACGGAGTTAGAGTTTATTAAGCATAAAAAAAGAGCAGCTTTTTATTTATTAATTCTTTTTACTGTCGAAACACGTGAAGAAGACGACAAACCCCCCCATGAAAATGGAGATTCAGGACACGAAATTGATTCCTTTGATGACTTCGGAAGATCTTGCTCGGCCTCGGATTTTGTGGCTTTTGATCAGCCTTATTAGCAGTTTTTAGGGGATAAAACTTGGCCAAAGCGTAAGCTTCGATAAAACTATCATATTAGCCCTAAGCTTATTATATAGATACTAATTCTTTTTTTTTATACTAATTCAGTTATAAACTTTTCGATTTTATCAATTTAGTTCTAAATCTTTGTGTGAAATTTCAATGTAATCATTTCGATCAATTTTTGGCAGAAACCGCCAACGTGACGATGTGTCAAGAGGACAACCCATGATGATTAGATCATCACGTTAGCTATTTTTGACGAAAAGTTGATCGGAATGATTACATTGGAATTTCGCGCGAAGGTTTATGACTAAAATGGCAAAATTAGAAAGTTTAGGAATGAATTGACATCCATACACTAAGGCTACGTTTAGTAGTCGGGATAAAATTCGGGATAGGATAAATTTTATCCTATCCCGTGTTTGGTGTTTGTGCAAGACAGGATAAAGTCGGATATAAGAGGGATATAACCCGGATAAAATTATCCCATGGGAGAGGTGGAATAAAGGTAGATAGGATTTCTAATATCCGTAATATAAAAAGTTATTTTTCTCGAATAATAAACTTATTAAATTAATAAAATTAAAATATCATTTGAATTTTAATATGAAAAATTCAAAATAACAATAAATTTGTGTTTTATTTATTCTTATTTTTATTTATATATTCAAATTTCTTTCTATCTTATGATATAAATTTCATATATATACATTTAGTATTTATATTTATCACATATATTTAGGTATATTTGTATAGTTTTTACTATTTGATAAAATTTTATTAGAGAATGATGGAAGAGGAAGAAATAAAAAAGGAAATAATTAAAAAGAGAGGGAAAAATAATAAAAATTGAAATAGGTAAGAGTGTCGTGAGAAATTTTTATAATCTCCATTTGTGCAATTTTTAGGGTCATTTACACTGATATAATGTTCAAAGCAAATAATAGACATAGTAATATGTGAAATTATCCGGCTTTTTATTATTGTGATTCACCAAACAGTAGATAGAATATAGCAAATCCCTCAGATTTCATATCATATCCTTATATTCTATCGTATCCAATCCTATCTTGATTAGAAATCCAGACGGCCAAACGAAGCCTAAGATTTATAACTGAATTCGCATCCGAATAGTAAAATTTAGGATTGATTGAATAAATTTTCCCTACCCCTCATCTGAGCACCTTTTAATTAATGTACCTGAGATTGTGGAAGAATGAATCAAACAGAGTGACACCACCTAAGCAGCAAAGCACGGTAATCCAATGGTAAATGAGTCATACGATTCACAAGTTTGGGGGATTCTCTGGTTTTGGTGGCTCACGACAGCAAAGGAGAGCGGCCCTGCTGTTGAGGGGACAATCCGTTCCCACCTTAGATTCGGGAACCGGAAAAAGCTGAAGCCATCCTTTTGGTCGTGGAGAAGGC